GGTTAACACCACATATACACGGTGCCAAATCCCAGAAGACTGCTTTCTTCATAGTCACCACCGTGAAAGCCTCAAATCTTACAACATAAATTATCTTAAGTTTCTAGTATATAAATATTTATTATAATTGACGAACATTTTAAATACTTTTTAAATTTTACAATGACATAATGGAAAGCAATGAAATAGATTAATGTAAATGGAGCACCTGATGATGGCACTATAGTGCCGAAACATGTTGTGAAATAACAAGTGAAATTGAGTGCACTAAAAGACAGACACTGCATACATATCATGGACAAAAATCAGTGCAACAGGACGCTAAAATACAACAAAATAATCACTGTTATTCACGCAATGCTGAATTATTGTATAAACCAAGTAACCTACAACATAGGGTCTCATAAATGTAAAAGAAATACATATTTTTCTTTTGAAGCCCTTAAATTGGTTTTATGTTCTACTGCTGTACCAAAAATAATGACCAAGTCACAAAATGATAGTGTTATTTTTTAAGTATCATGGTTAGTTACTGTTATTTAAGTTATCAGTTTCTTTTTGCATATTTGTCAGTGAGAGACAAGTTCATAACTTTACTTTTTCTGTTTACAATGTTTCTCCTATTGTATTTGTAAAAGGACCTCTGTGGCTTGACATAACTTAGGTCCCACCATGCTTACATATGGCTATTTTTTCAAGAGCATTTTTAAAGGATAATTCCAAAATAAGATAATCAGGTTTATAGTTGTATTGAAGAGCATGAATTTCTGAAAGGTATCTAAACTTCTCAGCTTCAAGCAAAGGGGATGCTGTTATAAAGTACATAATTAATTAGTTAGGAGTTCACAGATTTAGGTGTTTATGATGTGAAACAGTTTCAACCTTACTTCTTTTGGCTTATTTTGGACTTCACCCATCCTCTGGTATGTAAAAGACAAAAGACCACGACGTTTTGAAGACTGGATCTGTCTCCATCTTCAGGTGGATAGGGAAGGATAAACCTATTCAGTTGGGCCCGTTAGAAAGAGCTAGTGTCTATCACTGGACAAACCCCGTTGTTAGCAACATCTACATGGAACATTTTGAACTGGCTATCGACTCGGCGCAGGACAAACCGTCGTTGTGGCTCCGATATGTGGACGACACATTTGTGATCTGGCCGCATGGTGCAGAGGGGATACAGAACTTTCTTACACACATCAACAGTCTGAGACCGGCTAACCAGTTCACAATGGAAATAGAATCGGAGGGAACGATCCCCTTCTTGGACGTTCTGGTCACGAAAAAAGGGACGGCTCTGACCACAAAAGTTTACAGAAAACCCACCCACACTGGCCGATATCTTAATTTCAATTCCAATCCCCCCCCCCCATGTCAAAAGAGGAACTGTTCATAGCCTTCATGATAGAGCTACCACTATATGCCAAGATAGGCAAAACCGGGTGTTGGAGGTTAACAATCTGAAACACGACCTTCTACTGAGTGGTTACTCTCAAGGCTTTATTGACTCGGTTATCAGGTCCAAGGGCGGTAGTCGTCAAAAGAAAAAAGAGGAAAAGCCTCGTCACGGTGTACATCCCGTATGTTAAGGGCATCTCTGAGAAGTTCAAGCACATAGGGAACCAGTATAATATTAGGACCATCTTCAAAGCACACTTTACGATCTTGGCTCATGAGAATGAGACCAAAAAATGATCCTAAACAGACGGCACAGTGCGTCTATAGCATACCCTGTCAATGTGGCAGAAGCTACATTGGTGAAACAGGCAGACCACTGGCTGTTCGAATCCGTGAACACAGGCACAATCTCAAGCAGGGTCTTCTACAGAAATCCAGGTTGGCTCAGCATGCATATGAAGGTCACAGGGTAAGCTGGGATGAAGCTAGGATCTTGGAGGTTGAAAGTAACAGCAGATACAGAAATTACAAAGAATCAGCACATATGGCATGTTCATCCAATCCGATCAGCCAACCCAGTTTGGATATTTCTCCCATATGGATCCCCCTCATCAATGAAGAGGTTAACAAATAAAGTTTTTATGAATATTAGTGGTTCCACTACTCCTGCAAGTTTTGTTCTGGGGATTAGTCTGATTCCCAGAAGTCGCCATGGTGGCACGATTCTTTATCCACACAGATTAGGCATGCATTATCCAGTTTTTACTTTCGTTTTTAACTGAATTCATGGAATTTAACCTATACTTCTGTTTCTTTACATTGTTGACAAGTGCATGCTTGGCACAAATTTTCTATCATGTTTTTACTGTGATTTGTTTCTTTTCTCCCACTGATGGAACCGGTTGTCGGTTGTTCATAGATCATTTTTCTACACACCAGTATTTGTCCAGTGACTGAGACTAGCTCTTTCTAACAGGCCCAACTGAGTAGGTTTATCCTTCCCTATCCACCTGAAGACGGAGACAGATCCAGTCTCTGAAACGTTGTGGTCTTTTCTCTTTTACATACCAGAGGATGGGTGAAGTCCAAAATAAGCCAAAAGAAGTACAGTATACACCATCATCAGAATCCTTTCAAGTCTATCTGAGTTTCAACCTTGCTGACATTTGAACAAGACACATCATTCATTTATTCATGCAATAAATTTCTTCTTCATATAAGCTCTCTTACTTCTTGGCAACAGTCCTCGCTAGTGTAACCATTAGCTTCTGAACCATTTCTAGGTTTGACTTGCAATCTCGAATGAATGACAAAGGTTTAGATACTGAATTGCGATCCAAAACTTCTGCAGCATGAAGCTCACACTCAAGATCATCAAGTCTGTCATACAGTGCAGCCACAGCAGAACTCTGCAAACTGAAACAAACATTTTAATATGCAGTGCACAGAGAGAAAATAACAACCAAGTGTAAGATTTGAGGTTTTCATGGCGGTGACTATGAAGAAAGCAGTCTTCTGGGATGTGGCACTGTGTAGATGTGGTGTTAACCGATGTTTCGGAAGAACGTATCACCTCCATCTTCAGGGTAGAAGGAAAAAATAAGAAATCCTCAAGCGAAGAGATCATGAGAACCGGTACAAGTAGACTTATTTTTCCTTCTACCCTGAAGATGGAGGCGATACGTTCCTCCGAAACGTCGGTTAACACCACATCTACATGGTGCCACATCCCAAAAGACTGCTTTCTTCATAAGAACCAAGTGTTTGAAAACAGAACTGAAGACAATTTATGGACTCAAGATGAATGAAATGACTATAGAACTGAAATTACATAACAAAGGACTTCATAACCAATAGCATACTAATTACAATACTCAAGATTCCTATATGAAATTAATTCAAATACATCCAAATAAATAGCTAAAATTATCACAGGTCTAATGGTACTGTATCTCCTGTCCAATAAGTAACTTTAATCAAGTGGCATTTCAAAGCCATCAGAGTAAGTGACATGCATGCATGGGAGATGAGAAATACGATATGTACAGAGTGGGGCCAGAAACTTCCTTTTTGCGAAGACGCACTGTGAAGGAATGGGAGGTCGCAGAAAAGTGGGGATAGGCTCGGCGAATGCAGCAGTCGCGGAACTTTCTGTCTAATACCCCTCAGTAGGAAACATGAGGTGGATGAGTGAGCAGTGTACATTTGCTGTCGAAGTCTATTTTTCGAACAACTATTCCTATGTGGTGGTGCAGCGTATGTTCCATACTCACTTCAGAATTAAGCCCAGAGGTCCAGTTTCTGACCGAAAATCGATTGTTTTGTGGGTAGAGAACTTTAGGACAACCAGCAGTGTGGTGAAAAAATCATTAGGACGACACCGGAACGTTGCGACACCAGAAAATATGGAGGCAGTTCAACAGTCGATTTTGAGATCCCCAAGACGCTCTGTTCGCAAACATGCAGTCGCCCTAGACATATCCAATCGTTCAATGCCCCGAATTCTTCACGAACATCTTAACTTCCATCCCTATAAGATGGCTGTTGTGCAAGAATTGTCACCACATGATTTCCAGAACCGAATAACAGCATGCGAAACGTTATTGGAAACTTTACCCCCTGACGCACTTGTTTTCTTTACTGATGGGGCACATTTTCACCTATCCAGATATGTCAACAAGCAGAATATGCGCTATCAGAGTGGTAACAATCCCAGAGAGCTCCATGAGAAGCCACTTCACAGTGATAAGGTGACAGTATGGTGTGTGTTGTCGAGAGTTGGAGTTATTGGCCCTTATTTCTTTGAAGAAGACAATCATGCAGTTACTGTCAATTCACAGCGGTATGTGGACATGATTAAAAACTTTCTCGAACAAGCTCTTGAAGAAATGCATCTAGGAAATGTCTGGTTCCAACAGGATGGTGCCATGGCCCACCCAGTTTCATTTTTATGTTATATAATATCTGTTCACCATTCCTTACTCCAGTTGGCTGCCAACATTTATTTCCCAAGCTTTCACCAGTTGGCATTTTTGATGACTTTCTTACAAGGCAATCTGATGTATGAGCACTTATGAGAAGACTTTTTAACTACGCCCAAATTGGCAGTTTATAAATAGCAAACTCTATAATATTGGTGCAAAGTTTAAATAACACAGCCAATGTTCACACTTCTGCCAACATTCTTAATAATCAATTTTTCATTTTTCCTTACTTTTACTGAATTTGTAACTATATCAAAATTGCACAGCCTTACCCTTAACACAGTTATGAAAAGGCAGAGATCTCTAAAAGCTCACCCAAATCCTCTTCTTGGTATGCACTCCAGGATGTGAAACGCTTTCTGAAGTTGATCAGCATTAGGGTAGGCATACAGGCACTCTAAAGCAAGTGATATTTTTTCTTCAACCGATGGCACCAATGAACACGAGTGCTCATCATGCAGATGTTCAAAAAGTTTATGTGGCAATGACAGGTCCTTGGAGCTGAGAACTTTCAGGTAATCAAGAAGTAATTGTTTTCTGCTTCCTGCAGCTTCTTGCTCACAGCGCAGTAAAAACGGCAGTAAGACATGCTTTAGGTCATCAATGAATGTTGCTTTTACTGACTGGAAACAGGCAATTCAAAAGTATAGGTAACTAAATTGCATCTTTAATGAGACATAGTCAAAGCATGATGTATAAAATAATGTAGAAATGTGAACTGAAATCCCTTTCAGTTTAATTTCAAAAATGGAAACATATAATATAATCCTTCAAATCCTTTAACCTTTATCATCCAGGATTAGAGGTTTAAATGTCAGGGCTGGCAGTCACATTTTAACTCAAGGTTCTGAAAAGTAAAGGTGTCAGTCCCAAAGAAATGCAAAAATCTTCAGAAATATAACTATTATTACATTATAGTAAAACATATCTGAAAGAAAATATGAGGGGCAGTCAAATTAAAACGGGTCAGAAGCCAAAACACAATAAAAAACATTTCTTACCTCAAAAGTAATCGCCAAAACTGTTAATTCATTTATCCCACTGGGAGATAAGATGGTCAGTCCCATCCTTGAAAAAGCTTGTGAGCTGTCTAAGGAACCATATCTTTACCCAGCCACACACGTCTTCGTCCGATGCTAACCGATGTCTACAAATGTCTCTCTTCAGGTCTCCAAAAATGTGAAAATCACATGGGCAGAGATCTGGGCTGTAGGGGGAATGGTGAAGCACTTCCCAACCAAATCTGTGTAGCGTATTCCTCACAGAGTTTGGAGTGTGGGGGCGTGCATTATCATGAAGCAGGATAATGCCGTTCAATAGCATTCCAGGGCATTCTGACGTTATGGCACATCTCAGTTTCTGCAACGTGTCTTCATAGTGCTGTGCACTGATTGTGGCCCCATGCTCAAGAAATTTGACAAGCAGAGGGCCCTTGCAGTCGAAGAAGAACGTCATCATCACTTTACCGGAATCTATGTGTACGGCTTTGAATTTCTTTGGTGGGGGAGAATTCACGTGTTTCCACTGTTGGCTCTACGTTTGCTCTCAGGTTCTAAATGGTGGCACCAAGTTTTGTCCCCAGTGGCAATGCGGGACAGAAAAGCATACTCTTCCTCATGGTTTCGTTGCAAGTGACCCAGTGATGCAGCCATTCTCTGAGTCTTCTGTTCCTCTGTGAGTCGATGTGGAACCCATTGTGCGCAGATTTTGTGGTACAGCAGGTGTTCTGTCACAATGGTGTGTGTGGAACCCTGACTTATTCCCATCAGAAGACTATTTTCTTCCACAGTGATCCATCGGTTTGCCTGGATATGACCACCCAACGCAGGAGTAACATCAGGAGTGATGACACAATGAGCCTGTCCTGGATGAGCATCATCTTGCAGTGACACACGTCCCTCTCGGAATTTCTTATGCCACGCCAGCACATGGAAACGTGACATGCTGTGTTCTCCATAAACAACAGACATGCGACGATGAATTTCTCGTCCTCCTACTCCTTCAGCAGTCAAAAATCGCACTACACGTCACTGTTCTTCTTTACTCGCCTCCAGTACTGTTGTTGGACAACCGCATGTAGAGCTAATCTTACTCCCAGCACAATAACCAAATGACTACTGTGCAAGGGCACATTGTCACTGTGCTTTCCCAAGTCCCCACAAGATGTTCATACCATAAGCAAATTCCAGTGTTACCAACTTGCGGGCCATGTGAGTTATGCATGGTGACCTGTTTTCATTTGACTGCCCCTTATACATTGCCAGATTCTACAGTACTATTTTTATGCTATGTATACTGCATATACTACTTTTATTCTTGTATTATAAAACGAACTGTTTTCAACAATGTGCACAGATTTCTCAAATAAAACAATCATTGTGTATACACGTATAAATCCAAATATACAGCAATAACATTTCCCACACTGTGATAAAACTCTAATTTTTATGTATACATTTGTATGGACAATATGAAAACAGGTTGATACCAGGGCTAAATTTACAATCTAGTTGCATACATTTGGTGATATTTCCTTCTTCACAGGACTGGAAATAAAATTTGCAAATTAGTTCTTATTTTTTCCTCAAACAATAAAGATCCTTCGGCATGACAATTATTGATATGATGACCTTCAAGGCAGGAAATTTGATCAGCTGAACTAAGAATGAGACTCCTTTGGACCAGTAATTTTAACAATTTTGAACCTAAGTCCAATGACTGGACAAATACCACCAGAATTTCAAGCTTTTGTGGTTTTGACCAAATTTTATCTAGGCTTCTACTCGCAATGATGTCATCACAAGCTGCTACTGTGACATCATCAACCTCACTTTCACTGTCAGATGAGACTGTTTTGTCGAAGTCACTCTACAAAATAAGGTCCTGTGCAACATCTTTGTATGTATCAAAATCTGTGTCATTATGACAAGGTGATGTTGCTACATTCTGTTCACAGCGATACTATACTGCTCTTCACTGCGAGGGAAAGTGGATGAGGCAATTTTGTGTTTCTAATAAGATTCAGCAGGGAAGCTGTACTCCACACCCTCTGACTTATCCCATGCCTGAACAACAAATGCATGAGAACCCTTTCATTTCTTTCCACCATTTTCCCAATGGCATAACAATTCTAGCAGGTCCTTATCTCATATATCTACAGTAGGTTACAGGCCCTAACTCAACACTCCACTCACATTACAACAAAAAAAGACATGTCTACTTTCTGGCATCATAATACTATGAGGACAGTCCATTCAAAACCTCTTATGAAGGTCTTGACACCTTACCCACTACTCCCCCCTCCCCCAATATATAAACATGGGAGAAAAATTGTATTTATTTCTGTCTTCATTCTGACTCATTCATATGCTGCTACATCACAACCAACAAAATATGCAGAAGTCATACTGACAATGGAACCACACGGACAAGACCTGACTGGAAACTCTCCTTTCAGAGTCAGAATGGCCCTGCTAGATTCAATGTTTATAAACTGCTGACAGCAAGAAAACATACCAGAGATATGCATGGAACCGTGGAAGAAATTACAGTAAAATGACAGCTACAGGCTGATTGGAAATAAAGTGTTTGAGAGACAATAATATCACATACAGCCACATGGACTAAAGGTGGGTCCCTGCGACAATATGATGTATAGACGATAAAGGTTAAGACAACTGTTGTTTAACCCCTAAGAGTGCCCAGATGAATTTGCACAAGAACTACATGTAATTTATGAATGTCCTGTATATAAAATGTTCACTTTGGATGGACAAACATAATTGCCTCCTGTTGGCAGAGGCAAAATATACCAGTAGCAATGGTAAATATTGTGACGTGTTGGGCTAGCTGGACCCCCCCCCCCTGGAGCTGACGCGCCGAGCGGAGCCGAAGTGAGCTGAGCGGAGCTGAAGTTAGCCGAGTCCCAGCGTCCTGCTAGGTATGCAACGCGAGTCAACAGCGGTGGCGTAAGATGGCGTGAGGTAACAGTGTTGCTAGGCTATACGCAGACACTGTTACATGGCACGCAACGCCGCTGTTGACGCGGGCAACAGGTAACAGCGAACGGAATATAAGCTGGCTGAGCTGCAAGCGAGAGCCAGTGTGTTATCAACAGTTCTCAAGGCAGCTACCTACGAGTTCCGAGTCAGTTCCGAGCAAGCCTACGAGCGAGTGTGTTATCAACAGTCCTCCAGTCAGCAGACTACAGTTGGAGTATAGCAGCCGTCGCGGTAAGAAGATCCGGACGTGTGTGCGATTGTGTAATTGGGAGCGTGTGATACAGTGATAGCTCCCCTACTGTAAACGTGTAGACTACTGAAGACAGAGTGAACTGATTTGCGCATAGGGTTATAAAGTGTGAAACCCCGCAACAGTGGTAACAGATTAATGCGATTAGGGTTATAAAGTGTGAAACCCCGCAACCGTGTGATAATTAATTGTAGCTGTTACTTGTAGGTTGTTGAATAAACCAATTAACAATCCGAACGGCATCTTCAGAAACAATTCACGTGACAATATGTTTATTCCTGAACAGTGATATGTGTTTGAGATTTAGATTATTCAATGGAGAATGGTGTGGTGCATAGACTTGTTTCTATGCAATGACCATGAAACAAAAAAAAAACAGCCATTGTTAGGCAGCAGATACTTAATAAGCAACAGTTGAACTACAACAATAGAGGAACTGCTGGAAACATTGTTTTCTACTTGGTCTGTGCAAAAGGATTATATAGTGAGGACTCCAGCCACGCTACAGGATTATATAGTGAGGACACCAGCCACGCTACAGTTGTCAGTTGAAAGTCAGTCTGTGAAGAGAAGACTAGAAGACTGGTGTGAAATGGCCACCAGCCTGGGAGTTAGTCAGTTGAAGCACTGAGAGAAATGTACGGGATTGTCAGTCTAACGCTACCGCTATTTGGCCACCAAAGAAAGAACCCTGAGTGTCCACTGGACAGCACGCTCCTGAGACCCCAGACCTGCTCTGGACAATTCGAACTAATAAAACTAAAGAATGCCATCTTCTGGGATGTGGCACCATGTAGATCTTGTATAACCCGATGTTTCAGAGGAACATATCATATCCATCTTCAGGGTAGAAAATACATGAGTGAGGAACCAGCGTGAGCAGGTGGCTGCAGATGAAGATGGAAGAGATACATTCCTCTGAAACATCAGTTCACACAAGATCTACATGGCGCCACATCTCTAAAGACAGTCATAGTCAACACTGTGAAAAACTGTGAAATAAAAACTAAATTAACAAGTATTCAAACCACTTTGAGTTTCAATAACAAATTAGTCAGTGCCATACCTTTGACATCAGAAGTTTGCATATATCAAGGTCTGACATCTTCTGCAAATCAGACAACCTGGCATCCTCCAGATGGACCTCATATACCAATGCATCTAGAGTCAACAGTTGGTGATACAAATGGTCCAAACCCTACAGCCACAAAAGCATAGCGTACAGTAAATCCCAAGTATCTTTCAATTATGGCTTTTTAAGACATTTCCAGTTGGAATTAGGGGTCGATACTCAGTACACACAGGAGAGGTCATGAGCTAATGTCCAGAAAAATCTGAAAACCTAGATAAATAACATAAGCTCAAATCCTACAACAATTATTTTACCATTTCACTTATTTATGCACCTCTGAAAATCAGTAAACATATAAAATTTGTTAATGACCCCAAAAATTTAACATCCAAGCACACTACCATAAGCTCTGTTAGTACACATTGATCAGACTTGAACTGTGGTCTTCTGTGCCATGAAACCATGTAATCTAGAAGGTAGGTACAATGTCTTGAATATATACATATAAATAGTGCTTTAAACCCAGTACTTAGAGGCAGTACCTTCCTCTGAAATGTTGGTACTTACCTACCAAACTACAGTGTTACAAATGTAATGACCAGGGCCTGGATTTTGATGACATGTCATCTTTTTTTCCTTCTATCCTGTGCGATGCTCTTAAATATATAAATCTTGGATATGAGCTGCTGGTTACAGAAATGTAAATTTTATAGGTAATTTTTGGTCATTTTTTGACATTTCTAGGTTTAAGGTAATTTTTTCACTTTTGGGGTAATTTTTTGATAAATTTTGGGGCTTTTAAGCATATTTCTTGTCATTTTTGGCCATTTTAAGGAATTTTTCTTCATATGTTTTCTGAAATGTGAATAATATGGAAGCAAAGTGTTCTTTCTCTTTCTCCTAAGTGCTCTCTACAAAGGCCATAGTATACAATAACAGGTTGTAATACGGCCCCTCCTTTCCGTTCGTTTCGCAGAAGTGCTGACAATACATATCATAAAACAGGATACGGCAATGACTATTCACACTGTGTCTCTTTATACAAAGCAATTTGCTTAGTTACACATATTGCTAGTCAGAATCTCTTGCTTCATATGACATTGTTGTTCAATAAAACTCCTTCTGTCTCCAGTTCCTCGCCCTTGACCATACAGATAAAGATACAGTTGACGAAAGGTTCTCGGTGAGAAAAGTTCAGTTCTGTGTTGCGCTAGAGTGATTAATTTTATCACGATGCCAAAAGCAAAGCCAATTAATCGTGTCATTTAAAGCAATTTGTAGCTAAGTTTGGAGATGATACATTTTCAACTGATGGTGACATTTTATACTGCAAGATGTGTGACACAAAAAAGTAGCAGCAGAAAAAAGATTCACAGTACAACAACATATTGGCCATGACAAGTATTTATGAGTAGTGCAAATTTCGAACAAAAAGAAACCTGTGCAAATGTTACTACAACAGTGTTCATCTGGAGGTGGAAATAAGTCATCAGATTTTTTCAGAGATCTGTGTGATGCTCTGGCATCCGCAAATATTCCGTTTTGGGCTCTAAACAATGGAAAACTGAAAAATTTTCTGGAAGTAAACTGTGGTCGTTCCATCCCGGATGAATCCACACTCAGGAAGAACTACCTTTCTCAGTGCTACAACAGTATCCTGGAAATGATTAGGAATAAAGTGCATGGGAAGAAGATCTTCGTTTCCATTGATGAGACCTGTGATACAGAGGCTCGCTACGTGGCAAACGTCATCATTGGAACCTTGGAAATTGGCGAACCAGGTGAAGTGTTTCTGCTTATGAGTGCGGTGCTAGAATCCGTTAATCATTCCACAATTTGTAAACTCTTTGACAGGTCGATGTTTCTACTGTGGCCACAGGGTATACAACACGGTGACATCTTGCTTTTTGTGACCGATGCAGCCCCATATATTGTAAAAGCAGGCAAGTAAATAAAGTTGTTTTATACGAAATTGGTGCATGTTGCTTGCCTAGCTCATGCACTGCATAGAGTGATGGAGGAAGTGAGATCAAGATTTCCTCAAGTGGATGGTCTCGTGTCGTGGACGAAGAAGATTTTCGTCAAGGCTCCAGCTCGTAAAATACAATTTAAATGTATGGCTCCTGGTGTTCCACTGCCCCTGGAATCCGTCATTACAAGGTGGGGAGCGTGGATTGATGCTGCAATTTACTATTGTGATCATTTTCAGGTAGTGAAAAACATTGTAGATTCAATGAAGACGGAGGATGCGAGGGCAATTGAAGCTGCTCAGGAGCAGTTCTTGTGCATTGAAATGGAAGGACAACTGGCTTTCATAAAGGCAAATTTCATTTCCTTGACAGAAGGAATCCAATGCCTGCAGGAGAAAGGAGCAATGTTAGAAGATTCGCTTGCTCTAGTGAAAAAAATAGCCAATGATTTGGAGAAAGTGTCAGGGTACATTGGTAAAATGGTGTCAAGAAAAATGAAAAGTGTTCTAGATAAAAACTCAGGTTATGAAACATTATGCAGCATTTCTCAAATTCTGTCAGGAGAGACCTTCAGCGCTTTCACTATTGAAGAAGAACTTACTGCTAGTGATTTGGTACACTTGAAGTACGCTCCCACCGTGTCTGTAGATGTGGAAAGGAGTTTCTCCAAGTACAAGAATGTGCTGTCGGACAATAGGCACTCTCTTTCTTTCGAGAATTTCCACATGTTGACTTTCATCTATTGCAACTATGAATGAATGAGGTAAGACTTAAATGCTGGAACACATACCGTATATGTACATCTGATAAGCGTTCTAACATGACAGAAAAAGTCGTATTAAAACATTTACATTCAAATTCAATCAATATTGCTTAATTTTGAACATAAAACGAGGACGAACTTAAAAGAGTAAAGATGAGTTCAGTCTTAATAAAGATTAAAAATACATTTTAAAATAATTAGTAGATATTCTGACATGTTACATTTTTGGGTCATATTTTAGGTAGTTTTTCTGGATTTTTTTGGTCATTTTTAAATATTTTCAGGTCATCAAAATCCGGGCCCTGGTAATGACAATTTGAATCTACACAGCATGAAAACCTGAAATCCAATAATGAGCAGGTGATTTTCAGAAAGAATCTGTAAAATTCTGAACCTGACCTATAACAATTAATCACCAAGCACCATCCTCATGATAAAAGAACAATGAAACTGTATCATTGTGTGTGTATATTTATAGATTTTGTGACTACCTGTGCTGTAAGCACCTGAATGGTGCTGAGTAAGAGGCCAGCATTTTGTTGCTACCTGTTCAGTCTGTATTTACTTTCACTTCTTATACACCATAAAAATTATGCAAAGGAATGTCAATTAACTGTATAATTATTAGGTTCTAATTTGTACTAGACAGTGCATGTATATGCAAGCATTTAAAGACCTGAAGAATATCATCTTCTGGGATAAGATGCCATGGAGTCTGCTGAAAGTCAACCCAAGTTTCAGAGGAACATATCACCTCCATCTTGAGGGTTGAATAAGCAGAGCAAGATACCAGTGTGAAAGGAAGTGGCAAGCCAAGATGCTCCTAATGCCATTAACTTTGAACAGACTACACCATGTTATATCCTAGAAGACACTATCCTTCATAACCTCTGTAGTGAGAACCTCACATCCTACATATTCAAAGACTTCTTCCATTATTTCTTCCAAAGAGAGACAAAAGCAAAATTCATGCAATGAGTACGAAAGTCTTCATTGAGCGGAAACAAGTGATAGTAGTAGGAATTAAATTTTTATTGAAGTAAGCCAGAAGGTCATGGGTTCAAGTCCCAATGAGGTCACTGGTTTTTTTTTCAATTGACCTAATCCTTCCAGCTGCACTATGGCCCTCGGGTCGTCTCAGCCTCTAACAGAAATGAGTACCAGGAATATTCTTGGAATATTCTTGGGGGTAAAGGGCGGCCAGCACGTAGCACTGACAACCTTGCCACCATCTATGAGCTGATTATCTAGTAAATGTGGGAACCTCAACATCTCACAACCCTATGGGCCTCCACGGCCTGTTACAGGGATACCTTTTTTTTTTACTTATGAATTAAAAATATGTTAATGGTTTGAGAAGAGGCATGATTACAATGCCTTGGCCATGCAACAAGAGTGGATAGAACAATGATGGAGAAAGGCATTAGTATTAATATTTAAGGAAAGAGACCTGTGGGATAAGCCAGAACTAAATGGGTGAACCAAATACTGGAAGACAACTAAGAACAGAAGATAATGAAAATGGAAGATCATAAAAAGAAAGGAGAGATTTTAGAATTTTTGTCACTGATCATATAAATTAGAAGAAAAAAAAAGGAAGGGGTAAGAGGAGGTTTGTTTCTGATTTGTTCACTACAAATATAAGTCACCTCTGGACTCACCATGACACTTCTCTCTCTGGCAAGCTTAATAAGAGTGACAGCATGGTCAACCATGCAGCTTCGACTTTCTATCTGATGCACTCTACCAGTGTACCATGAAGTTAGAACCTCTGTTGTAACACTTTCCTTCTTGCAAGCAAAATACTTCAAAGTTTGATCCTCTTCATATATAAAGTCATCATCACAGTCATCAGACTCATTCCTGAAATTATACCAAATCATTAATAGCATTTAAAGCAACTGCCACTTATATGCCTGGTTCAATAGATACAAGTTTGATTTTGCTGCAGTTTGTGAGATTTAACTCTGTTCTGTTCTTCATCTGAACTCAACATCCACTGAAAACTTTATGAGGTCATCAGAGCTACACCAAATCTCTTTATTCCAGAGATCCTGCCAGACCTTACAGCTACTATGGCAAGGTCACCAGCGATGCTCCACATTCCTTCCCATCTCAGACAATTCCATACTTGTCACGTCCCACTCTCATACCAAGGACGTGGCACTGGATAAATTAAGATACAGTAAAACACTACATATGGATTCCTGTGACAGCATCACAGTAATCCCATATTTTCACTCCATAAATATTGTTAAAATGAAACTGTAATTTAAATGTATAAAACAATTTACAAACTAAAATCATAACTGATAAATAATATACAGTACAAGAAGGAAATGAAAGCCAGCACTGTAGCCATATCTACTCATCATATTACTCAATACAGCTGATATCACACACTGGTTCCAAATGGAGCCATGCTGATGGAAGTTTCTGCAATCAGGAAAAAAGGCATAAAAGCCCTGATCTGCTATCAAAATATCAGTATATGTGTGCATGATTAACAGTCACGGTAATGGTAAGTAGCAAACTCTTACAACAATGTAATTGATTACTGCAAACAAAGATTCCAAACATATCTCACCTACAGGACAATTATGAATGACATGCACACATCATACAAACTGCATGGCAATATGATCCCGAACGGCATTCAGAATTAAAGAATCTCATATAATCACATTCAAAGAGATCAAAAACTAGGCACAGAGACCAAGTGCAGGAAGATACACAGACAAGTGTAGAAAGAAGTGGACACTTATGACAGGTTCTTACTATAAGTGTAAAAAAAGAGGAGAAAGCTCTATTATACGATAACCTATTATAGTAGAAATGTCAGTGAGTGCTGTGTAAACGCAAAGCTTCATTAACTACTCAAATAGCTTCCATATCACATTGCAATACATTCTCGATGATCTCGGCTAATGGAGAGAACGCAAAACATGGTTAACTGAAGAACACAGATAACACAAAATTAATCTACATCATAACTCATGCACAATACACTGCACCAGGAACTGTTCAATTCACTGGTGGGATCATATTTTTTTGCAATTTAAAGAAGAGCAGCGGATCAGAATATTTTGGACAGCAGTTTTGTATTTTACCTACCTCTCTACCTTGCCACATTCTCTCACAGTAGGTTGGGGTGGGGTGAGACTGAGTCCTCTGGTTACATCAGCCACTAATTGACCTACTGTATCAGCCCCAGATGACAGATGATGACGAATGTGGAGCAGCCGGTGGATTGAGAATTGGTAGGGAAAACCAAAGTACTCGGAGAAAACCTGCTCCAATGCCACTTTGTCCACCACACATCCCACATGACCTGACCTGGGTTCAAACCTGGGTTGCCACAGTGGAAAGCCAGCAACTAACTGCCTGAGCTATGGCATGACCACTCTCAGAGTAGATTACAAAGGACACATAAAAAAGACTGAATAGAACGAAATATCTTACAAGAAAGGGGGGAGAGAAGCGAATACCTAATTCCCACAGTTTATTCATTTCTTATTCAATAAACAACTTCCCTAAAAGAAACAGGTATCGACTGGCGTGAAAGAAGATTGATCAGGAAATTGTACATGGATCAGAAAGTTAGAGTGCGACTGGACAGTGGGGAGACAAGAAGTATGCAGACTGGAAGAGGAGTTCGACAAGGATGCTGTTTATCATCAATTCTGTTCAACTTGTACAGCGAATGCCTTAACAAGGAAGCTCTGGATGGGCTCGGAGACTTCAAATTAGGAGGGCAAATTATTCAAACTGTGAAATATGCAGATGACCTTGTGTTAATGGCTAAGGAAGAAACTGTGCTACAGGGCATGATTGATAGACTAATTGAAATTGGAAGGTGCTATGGCATGGAAATGAATGTGGAGAAAACAAAAGTAATGANGCCAGAAAATTGGACTTAAATTTGAGGAAGAACTAGTGAAATGCTACATTTGGAGCATAGCTCTGTATGGGGCTGAAACATGGACACTTAGGGCAGTAGATCAGAAACATCTGGAAAGTTTCGAAATGTGGTGTTGGAGAAGAATGGAGAAGATCAGTTGTACCGATTATGTGAGAAATGAAGAAGTGTTAATTAGAGTCAGTGAGCAGAGGAATATCCTACATGAAATAAGAAAACGGAAAGCTAATTGGATTGGTCATGTTTTGCGCAGAAACTGCCTTCTAAAAGAAGTTACTGAAGGAAAGCTAGAGGGGCGGATAGAAGTGAAAAGAAGACAAGGAAGAAGACGTAAGAAGATGCTGGATGACCTTGGGGACAGAAGAGGATACTGTTGCTTGAAGGAGAGAGCTCTAGATCGCATTAATTGGAGGAATTGTTTTGGAAGAGACTGTGGACCTGTCGTCTGACAGATTACTGATGATGATGAAACAACTTTTTGTGGTGGTGGTGGTGGCCAGGGCAGCAGGAAACATATATAGTTTCTACTACATAAATAATAATTGCATAGCACTGAAATGCAAAATGACATTTTGTGCCATGTGTAGCAAAGGGAAACTAGTAAATATGCTATAAATAGAACACTGAAGGTCGCAATTCAAGGGCCAGATTTTATGGCCCACCCCTTACACATACTACTATTAAATAGGCTATTACCCACATCAATTATGCAACATATCCCTCTGGGTGCATTCATTCTCCCTACCCATCTCCCCTCACTACTCTTTTCATTTTGCCATCACTGGTCTGTTATTTTAGACTCGCCGCTTGGGGAGCCCTCCATCTGGAAGGACCTTTCTAAATTGCCATTTGGTATGTTATTCTAAAACAATCTCAGAGGTTTCTTTCCTTCCTTCTAGCAGGCAGCCAATAACAGAAACATCTACAGTGCTGAGTTGAAGTTGAGCTCCTCACTTGTTGGATGCTGTTCATCAGCCTGGTGGATATGGGATAGGCTCTCCTGCATCTCTATGCATTCCTTTTGAGGCTTTCTACTTTCATTATATTGTCATGATTTAGTAACTAGACATGGGGTTTGAATTTAATGAACACTTATAACTCTTTGACTACAGGTAATTACAACTGTTTCATAGATCTACATACTCTACAAATCACTACAGAACATGCTAAGTCTCAAGCTGTTATGTCTTTACTAGGTGTCAACAGGTTACGGTTGCTAACCATATAGGTTCTACAGAGCCAAATGACAAACTGCCACTGTTCATTTAGAGCTCATGAAATACTCTTCAACTACTGACTCAAGACTTCAAACTCCTAGTCATGTCTGGTCATCACTGGCTACCACTTACTAGCACTGACTTCCGATTCATGACTGACTGTCGACTTCAAAGTCAAAGTGTGATTGACAGTCAGTCAGTCAGTCAGTCAGTCAGTCAGTCAGTCAGTCAGTCAGTCAGTCAGTCAGTCAGTCAGTCTTGGTGTCGAGCCCCATTACGGGCTCATGACCTGATATTTATTACTGTTTGACAGTTATGTTCTTGTTTTTTGTCGGGTGCCCTCTCTGATGAGAGGATGGGTCTGTCATTTGTACAAGCTGCTGGCTCTTGCCAGTTAGTCTTTCTTGGGTCCAAGGCCCTTGGGGTTCGCAACCATATTTTACTGTCTCAGATTTGAGACTTCCCTTTTCATCGCCTCCTACAACCCACAGGATCACAGTGGAGGTCTCTGACCATCCCTCCACAAGGGTTTAGTCTTGACTGGTGTCCTCACTCTGTAACCTTGGCATAGACCACATAGAAAACACCACTTCCATAAACTCCTCTATTGTTTCATGTTTATTCTTTGCTGTGGAAACATGTTTCCCGTACAGATCACTAGAAACTGCTGCATCAGTTCATTAAACTATTCTGGCTTTCAGCTGTCATGTCACAATATTTGTTATGTTTCAAAAAATATACTTATTCTATTGTTAAAAATTCTTCCATTAGTTCCATACCAAGTACAATTTTATGAATGTGAAAGAACGTGGAAGGAAGCAGACAATTATTTCAGGGGCTTCTGCCTCAGCATTTACCTGAAAGGACTAAGGGAAAACCACACAAACTTCAAATATTAACCAGTAATAAAAATCAAGACAAGAAATGCACATGCATAATCCACAAAACTAACTAATCTGCATGTGAATATGAGGACTATACTGCCTTTTCTTTCTAATTATCCAATATATGGAACTTACTGAAAGTCTGCTTCTTCACACCAGTCTTGTTCTCTCAGTTGAATCTGGCTCCAAGGAATCACATTCCCATTAGCAGTGCATGCTGGGAGCAGAGATTTGTAATCATTTGGATCCATAGTCTCAGGAAAGTTGGAGAGCACAGGAAGCCAGTGTGGCAGAAGAACATCTCCATGGTATGTAAACATGATTTCTACAGCTTTACAATTCCCTTCATGAGCAAACTTGACAGTAGATGTAATCAGTGATACAGTGCGAAACTTATCATAGAAAGTGTAGTCATACAAGTCTTCGGCCATATGTGGTCCTCCCATAATAAGCTGCAACCAAAACAAATTACTTTTACAGATATGAACAATCAAGCAACATATAACCAGTAACTACTTATATAGGGTGTAAATAAATAAATATATGTTAGAATCCTCTGTGGTAGATAGATGTGTTCACTCTGATCATATTTTGTTTTATGAGTTTTAGGGGATGTTTTTGTTTTTCCTTATAAAATTTGCTCAAAATGGTGGCCACTGACTTCATTGCATGTTCTGCACCACTGGGCTATGTTATGCTGAACTCTTTGAAGGATTCCCGGCATTTCCTGGATGGTTCCTGCTGCTACTGCAATTCTTGCCACAAGCTCATGTTGTCTCCCCACTGGAGTCTCATACACCAGGCTTTGCATGTACCCCCAGAGAAAGAAATCCAGTGGAGTCAAGTGAGAGGAGCGAGGGGGCCAGGCAATTGGGCCTCCGCGTCTAATCCATCTGTTGCCAAAATTTCATCCAAATACTCACAGACAACATTAGAGGAGTGTGTTTGTGCGCCAGCATGCTGGGAAATTTTATGATGGTCTTCCAAAGGCACCAATTCCAGCAGCTTGGGTAAGACCTCTTGCAGAAATGTTGGGTAAATGTCACCAGTAAGCCACAGAAGTAAGAGGTAAGGGCATCCTCCTTCACATTTCAGAGACCCTAGTGCGTAAACAAAGCGTTTCCAGACATGGGTGTATTAAAAAAATATGATCACACTGAACACTTCTATCACAGAGCACTGCAACATATATTTATTTACACCTTGCATATCACACACACAGCCCACTGTCTAAATACAGTCAACTCTCGATTATCCAGGGGCGGATTAACCAGTTTGCAGCTTAACTGGGGCTACTGAGGCGTTTTTGAGGCTTATATGTTGTTTAATATTCATTCACTTTTGTTTCACATGGTGAGTTGTAACACTATTTTCGCACTAGTGTGAACCGAGCTCTGCATTCTTTGGTCCCGTTATCCTAACACAATGTTCTAGGGTAGGGGTGAAAGAATGCAAGGATTTGTGGAAAGTTTCAAGGACAGATACACCGCACCAGTTGGTCTCTTTGTATCGATCTTCACGTGCGTTAGCAAAATGTCAGGGTGTAAAAGGAAGTGTGTTGTGTTAAGTATTCAACAGAAACTTGTGTGAGCCAGGCTTCGAAATGTTAAGCAGTGACGAAACCGTAAATTCAGTGGGGGTGCAGCCAGAAGAGCGGGAAGAAAGTGAGAATGAGGAAGACGTGGACAGTGCTTCTAATAAGAAAATAACATATGGTGCTGCTTTTAATCATTTGGAATCCTTACTAGACTATCTTGAGAGTGAAGAGAACAGTTTATTAAGTGACAAGCTAATATTATGTAAGCTTCGTACGGATATCCATAAAAATGAAAATGCCGCGAAAAAGCAAACAACGATATTAATTTTTTTTAAGTGTTAAGTGTGAATATTCATAAAAAGTGTTGGATGTTGTTGAACACTGTGACTAATTCACACTTCAGTATAACGTAAAAAAAGTATTAAATAGGCCATGAGATGACATAAAAATGAGGTTGAGTAAATTTAAATACAGGTAGGCCTATAGTATTATGAAGGTACAGTATTACAGTAATACTTTTAATAACATTTGTCTCAACCAGGTTTTCGATTAATCATGATTTCTATGCCCACCATTATCCCGGATAATCGAGAGTTGACTGTATATTCAGTACACACAGAGTTTCAGGAGTTGGCTCTATTTCCATCTTCAGGTTGTTTTATTCTTAATTTCATGAACAATGTCTACTTAACTGCATCAGTCATAAAGTGATGAATGGGAAGACTGCAGCAAACAATGAAATGGGTAAGGTGTGAAAATAACAGTTCACGGCCTGTTGAATACATTCACTGCTAATCCTGAGAAGCCAATCCCATCAAGTGACAGTCTGTTGCCATTATGTACATAGTAAAAAAAAAAAAAGTAAAATTATCCCTGTAACAGGCCGTGAAGTCCCATGGGGTTGTGAGACGTTAAGGGTCCCACATAACCTTGACAATTGGCTCAAAGATGGCGGTAAGGTTGTCAGCCTTATGCGCCGGCCGCGCTTCACTCCCCAGGCCAATTATTTAATTAATTCCTGGTACTCATTTCTGTTAGAGGCTGAGTAAAGGCCAGGGCCTAGTGTGGCCGAAGGATTAGGTCAATTGAAAAAAATCCAATGACCTCATCGGGACTTGGACCTGTGACCTTCCAGCTTGTAGCATAGTACCTTAACCGCTACGCTACCAGGTACCCCTGCTGTTATGCACATACATATTGTAATGTGGATGGCGCAACAGGAAGCAGGGGTCCCGTGAACTCTGTTTTTCCACAAGTGACGTCACATACCCCCACACCTTCCATCACTACACAACGCTCGGTAAACACCCCTCTTTGCTAGGCTGTGACGTCACGCAACAGGTGAGTCCGTGCAGTGACTGTTGCTAGGCAATCGATAAACACAGTGATTACGCAACAGGGAAGCGAGGTGTGTTTTCCACTGTCCGGCTGAGGGTTTATAAGATAAACTGGAATGCCTAAGGAGTGTAGTGGAAGTCTAGCAGTCGCTGAGTGCAGTTGCAGTCTAACATTCGCCGGAGTTAGTTGAGCGTTAGCCGTCAGTTTCCAGCCTTCGAAGAGATGAGGTGAAGTCCAGCAGTTGTCCAGTTAAGTTGTATCAAGTGAATGGATTCAAGACAGTTGAACCCATGAAGTGACTATTGCAGATGGCAGTAATTGGGACACTGCAAATTGTGTAAGTGTAAGAGTGAGTTTGCAATAAATTCGCTAGATCTAAAACGGTGGGAAGTTATTTGTCGCGTTACACATACCCAATACGTGACAATATTATATTCTCACATAAATGTCAATGGAATGCAAAGAAAACTCTGAGTGTAGACTGTCAAAGTTAGAATATACAGCAACTGTCCACTGCATTTCTCTTGCTAACTTACAGGTTCTCACAGTTGTGACTATAAGAGTACACTCTTTTGGGATATGATGGTGTGCAGTCTGGCAAAAGTTTACCACTGCCTGCTGCATGTGCATTCCTTTCTTGGTTTACTTGTTGACTCTCAAATTAGAGGCTGTACGTTCATTGTAAACGATGATAAACTTCTACTGGACTATATAGTGTCATATCTCAGGAGATTGTACTCCTTGTGTATTTCTCTACTTCCCATTGATTTCTGTTTTGAATTTAGTAAGATCACAATCAAGTTTTTGTTAAAATTGTGCTGGCTCAGCATGTAAACTCCAAGTAAAGGGGCATGGCAGTAAATGTTCTCTCATATTCCAGTATTTGCTTAGAGGGCCCACAAAAATCACATAAAACTGGTCATAACAGTGAGCCTCTGGGCTGAGAACTGAACCCAGGTGATCCCACATATGAAGTAAGAATGCTAAGCACCATATCATAACATTCAGTAATCAGCTGGTTATATGAAAAAAATTCATCTTATAACATTTTCTTCTGACATACTTAAATTGCATTCTGTCTAATATCGGAAGGAATTCAATATTCAGCTATTTCAGGATTTCTAACATGCTTTCCAAACTACCATGGTAGTGACAAGAACTAATTTTCTTCACCCTGTATAACTGTCTCCCACTTCAGACAGATTCCATAAATTTGACAAATATTACTGAACTGTTTTATATATATATATATATATACACAACTGAGAAGTATGAAATTTTGATAATGTTATGTCATAACAAATGTAATATTTGCCTAATTTCATATACAAAATAGAAACCTGGATGAGATCCAAGGAAAATGCCAAGCAAATAATGAGCTACTTAGAAAAAGTTCCTATATACTTGTGGATAATTTTACAACACTGTAAACAGCTAGATTATACAGCATTTCTACAGAGTATTTAGAAATGAGCAAGCAGAGATAAGATCCAATGCCGAATCTGAAAGTAGAACCAGAAATATAGCTCAAATTAGGGATAGAGTGTATGGACATGTGTTATGCACAGACAACAGGATATTACTGAAGATGGCAAATACTTGATCAGCAGGGAGAGCAAGGAATGGGTGCGGCGAGTGAGGGAAAATGTTCAATATATGTAGAGTAAGAATGGACATGAAGAGAAAGTAGCACTTACAGAAGGATAGAAAAGTAAGAAGAAGGTTCTGTTAGTAGACAAATGACGCTCATGGAACTGCAGTGGATGATGATTCTTAAATGACTTACCTCATATGTACATAATCTGTCAAAATACTTCAGTAGCTTCTGCCTGTTTCTTAAGTAATCCAGCTGTTCAGAAGTCAGTTTATCCATTGCTACCTATAAACAGAAACATACATTCTAGGCCCATGATTCTCTGGCAGCAGAACCCAAACTGCTAAAATAATAGATTGCCAAAGACCATTCAAAATTTTAAAAAGGCTAGAATCAAGTCCATGATTTATTTCAACCGTCTTCCAGTGCATACACTCATCTATCTCACTCCTCTCTCTCGCACTACATGTTTCGGCACAAAAGTGCCANAGAGAGGAGTGAGATAGACAAGTGTATGAACTGGAAGACGGTTGAAATAAATCATGGACTTAAATCAGTGCAACAGGACGCTAAAATATAACATTATGGCTAGAATAAATTTAAAAACAATTATTTTCATATCTCATAAATAACTCATTTCATACAGTTGATGAATTTTGGAGCATACAGTAAATAATTAGTTTACAGTATATGTTTAGCTTTGTATTGTCTTTCTGCTTTGTTTGTTTGTGTTATGCTTGTGACCAATTTCATGTCCATTGTATTTTGGACTTGTGGTATGTATGTATGTATATATGTATGTATAAAGGCACATTACTGGATCCCATCATGAACCACTTCAATCTAATCCTGTCCACAAAAGACATACAAAGAGATCACCATAACTCTCCACATATGATGTTGTAACTGTCCATTTCCATTCAACATATAATAACAAACACTTGCTGTACCCCCAATCACAAATCAAATTGTGATTAAATCTGCCAGAAGGGATCCAACCTAATAACATAATTAGGTATCACAATACAGTACTTTACCTCTGAGAGGAGAAATTTGTTTCTATCTTGTAGCCTCTCTTCCTCTGTATCAGTGTTAAGGACCTCAGCATTACCAGCCATACCTTCAGACTCTTCAGCAACATTTCTATCCCTGCCTGGGATCATATAATTAAACTTCAGTAATATGGTATGTTCTGTTTTATCTAGAATAATGAAGGAGAGAAACACACATGGTCGTCACCATCATGGAAAGAGTTGAAGTTTTGAGGTTCTCACAGTGCTATGGTTTAGTCTGGTAGAAGTCTGCCAATATATCAGAGGAATATACTGTGCCCATTTCAGGGTCAGACTGTGAGCCAAGTGGGCAGCAAGGAGAGCACTCTGCTTGCTGCTCGCTTGGCTTACTCTTCAACCCTGAAGATGGAGGCAACATATTCTTCCAAAACATTAATATATACTTATACTGGACTACACAGTGTCATGTCCCAGACGACAGTACTGTTCATGGACTAGGTTGTCTAGCCTGCTTATTATTACATTCCTTTATGTTTTATTTAATGTCGATTTCAATGACCCTCATTACTGGGCATCAAATAACATGATGATATGTGAATTATGAAGTGGAAAGGATGCAAAAGGAAGCAGTGATCCCCTGCTTTGAGGTACTACCTGGCATTTGGCTTGAGCAACATTGCTCAACCTTTCAAACACAATGGCCTCTTTCCAGTTAACACAAATCCTCCAGCCCTCCTTGAAATATGGCATAATAATGTCATATGATTTAGTCTAATTTCAATTTGTATTTGTGACCTTGATCCTACATCAATCAAGAACATTTTTATTTTAAGAACTTTAGGTGGGGGCACATGGTAGCGTAGTTGGTTGAGGCACTATGCTACAAGCCAGAAGGTTGCAGGTTAGAGTTCCCATTAGGTGTTAATTTTTTTTCAATTGACCTACTGCTTCCAGCTGCATTATGGTACTGGGGTCAACTAAGCAACAGAAATGAGTACCAGGAATCTTCCTGGGGGGTAAAGGGTGGCTAGCACATAAGGCTGACAACTTTACCACCATCTGTGAGTCCTCTGTCTAGAGGAAATGTGGGAAAATGTCCAACCCTTTACTTGATATTCTCAGTTCTTCTCATACATCTACATTATACTTGTGCATCCAGCCACTGCCATCAGAAAATGTATCTCTTTTGATTCTATTCTGCTTTTCTGTCAAGTCCACTACTTTGATCCATATAACACAATTTTAAGAACATAGAGAATAACATGAAACTCAGTTTGTGGGCAATTAAGGATACTGGGAGACCATTTTTTATGGTTACAAATACAGTGACTTGTCTTGGAGCCTAGAAGCAGCAGCCCAATCACAAGCTACCCAGTTGTACACTAGCTACATAGACATGTTACACAACTTACATGATATAAAGAAGAAACAAGAAGTTCTGGGAAGAACAAATTGCCTACTTTTCTTTCACTGCAATTTTAGTATGATACAACTAGGAAGAAAACTTTACTATGTATGCATAATAAAGTCAATAAAACAATACAATTTGGGCAGCTACATTGCTCCTATTACTGGTAGGGCTGATTTATGAGGTACACCACTGAGATGGCCTCATAAGGCATGATATACATACCAAGTTTCAGGAGGATTGGTTTCGGCATTCAGGTAATATTAAGCTTATAACCTCAATAAACTGAGAGGTTGTAGTGTCAGTATTACTAATAAGGGGGATTCCTTGAGATGGTCTCAGGTGGCATGCTGAACATACCAAGTCTCATGACGATTGGTTCAGGCATTAGAGTAATATTAACGGTATTCCCTCAACAATTTCCGAGACTACAGTACTGGTATTTCTGATAGGGGATTTATGATGTATGCCACTCAGATGGTCTCAGGTGGCATGATAATTATATACCAAGTTTCATGAACATTGGTACTGATGTTCAGGCAATATTACAGTTCGGTCTCAGCCACTTGAATGGCTGTAATATTGGTATTACTGATGGAAACGAATTAAGAAGTGTGCCACTGAGATGGGCTCAGGTAGCATGATATACTTGCAAAGTCTCATGAAGATTGGTATAGGTATTGAAGGAATACTATTATGTTATTATTATTATTTTAGAGAGGGTGGGTTTCCCCATGCACTGCGACCAGTTTGATCTATTGTGCTTCCCTCTGTGATATTCTACCAGTCTCTTTACCCTACTGATAAATGGTGCGTACCATCAGTCCCGCCGAGCAAGCGAGTTCGGCCACTTGCTTAGCGGTGTCTATAATGCTTCCCCCATCTATCAGAGGCCTTAGAGGCTATTGTTGGGCGGGAAACGTCCTGGAATTTGGCTCAGTGATCCCCTTTGGGGATATGAGGTTCTTTTACGTGCCGTAAAGTTACGACACGGGACACACAGCTAAAGTCCCTCCCGGAGGACTTGTTCCCTGAATTTTTCCGCCCTTAAAAATTCGACGACCTCCGCCAGGTATTTGAACCCGCGTACGAGGCATGAGGTGGGAATGTTACCTCTAGACTACGGAGGCCGCTGAAGGAATACTAAGGTTTTGCCTCAGTAATTTGAAAGGGGTCAGGTGCTATGATACACATATCAAGTCCATGCATTCAAAAGTTAATAGGGAGGACACACATACAGACACACAGTCTGGATAGACATCTCATAAGCCTACTTTTTTCAAAGTAAGGGAAGTAGGCTAAAAAGACATAATCCAAATTTTATCAATTCCAGTTCATAAAACACACTCACCAGCATAACAAATAGGCAATAAGACTGTTCTGACCACAAATGTTCCACCCTTAGGGACTATGTTTCATCTGTTTCACTGTGTTTCATACTGGTGTTCAATAAAGCGTCAGAATTCTGTTCATACAGATATAATGTAATACATGCAGATTACTTTCTTCTGGGATGCGATACCACATAAATCTGGCAGATATTCAGTGATGTCTTGGAGGAACATAATCGCCTTCATCTTCATAACAGAAGAGTAATTCCTGCTCCTCTTCCCTGAAGATGGAGGCAATAAATTCCTCCAAAACGTCAGTATACTCATTCTCTTCTACCCTGATGATTGAGGCAGTATGTTCCTCTGAAATGGCAGTGAACATCTACTGGACTACATGGGTCACATTCCAGAGGACAGCAATCTCTAGAGTCAGCACCATGAGAATCTCAGATGTTGTAATACTTCAAACAGTCTCTGCTCTTGCTTCTCCATAGCGTTCCTTCAATTTTTCCTCACACATATCTAAACCTTCACATGAAGGTACATAAAATAGGAAGGAGAGATGAAGCAAGAAAAGTTATTAAAATTTAACATACATGCACTCTGTACTAATAACAGTCAGATCTTTTGATAACATAAATAAATGTCATAAATCAACCATCAGAGTGATGAAATGAAGGAAGGTATACAAAAGAAAGAACCAGAGAAACAACGGAAATGCTATGCATCAGATTCACAACTATACAACTGGAACAATGATAGAGTAATTCATCTTGGTGGAAACATCGTAAGGCGATAACTGAACTAACCAAATTTTATGTTTAAGTACTAGCACATATAGCTGGTTAATCACGCAACACCATTTTGTGTTTTAATGGCAACGTCATTTGTAGCTGAAATTTCTATACACAGATTTCTGGATTACTGAGAATTAAAAGCAACTCACATTATGTGTATAATCCTTTTACTCACCATCAGCAACACAGATGAATGTTTCAATGTCAGTTTCCTGAAGACCAAACTGAAGTAATTCTCGGGCTGCAGAAAATGTTTCAGGCACTCTCTCCACACATTCCTTTAGCACCCAAATGTGTTTAGTTACCTTGCTCTGTAACACAGGAATACAGGCTCAATGAGAAGGAAAGCGAAATCTTGGTTATGAAGAACATACCCAACAATCTGACTTCCTGGAACAATTAATAGTTAAACATAGAGTCCAGATTTTCCTATAATTACTTACTCCTTGGCTCTATGGTCCTCTTATCAACTTTGGCCTCCTTTATATTTCATGTCTCTTCTTTATTATGTATCTTTTGCCTCCTCTTTCATTTCAGTTCTCATAAACCATTCTTTACATCTCTCAACTAACCTAATTTCGGCCTTCCCACTTTCTTCTACCTTCTGGTTTACCTTCCAAAATGTCTTCAGGCACTCTTGTTTGATCCATTCTAATTGTATGCCTTAACCATTGAAACGTTCTCCTTTCAATATCTGCTACCAGATCAAGCGGTTTTATATAATTCTCTGTCAAGAAGCTAAATTAATTAACTCACCAAATAATCATGAATCGTAGCAACTGATACTTTGTTATTTCTCCACTGTTGCTGATACACAAGGTCACAGTCCAGATTATATGCTTTAGCCAAAGCTAGAGCTTCTCCATATTCTTCATTGTCAATCTGAAAGAATTCAACAAACAGAGTCATTATACTTGAATTTTCCTTAGTATTTAATTATTTATACTATTTTGATTAATTTTTTCTTTCACAGGTTGGTTATTTAGAGCATTAATTCTTTTGTTTGATTTCTTACTTTTCCTTTGCTCTGCAACTTCAGGTGTTTATACAGTAACAATTGATGATTTGTCCCATAACAACTTATTCTTTACCAGGAGGATCGCACATGGTAGTTCAGTCCATTTCCATAAAATGCATTCAACAAAATGATGATCAGAAGGGCATGCATTTCTGAGTCTACAAATTTCATCTCCAACACCACTTGACAGAGTAACATGAAAAACAGGTATCACGTGTCTAAACTTAAAAGTTATATCAGCACATTATAATCAGTAATTTATATGAAGCTGAAAATGGCTCACTGTTAAAAGATGAATAACATAAAATTTTAATCCTTTAAAAATCTCTAAGTTCTATCTGGAACATGTTTTCATTGTGTATAATAAGCAAATTTTCACCACTCCTTTTCAACTTTGCCTTAGAATATGTCATTAGGAAGGTCCAGGGAAACCAGGTGGGACTGAAATTAAATGGGACCCATCAGCTGTTGGTCTATGCCAATGATGTGAATCCACTGGGTGACAATGTAGATACCATAAAGAAAAACACACAAACTTTAATTGACGCAAGTAAAGAGGTTGGTCTAGAAGTAAACACAGAGAAAACTAAGTATATGCTACTGTCTCGTCACCAAAATGCAGGGCAAAATCATGAAATAAAGATAGGAAACACATGTTTTGCAAATGTGGTACAGTTAAAATATCCGGGAACAACGATAACAGATCAAAACCTGATTCAGGGGGAAATTAAAAGGCGACTGAACTTGGGTAATGCTTGCTACCATTCAGTCCAGAACCTCTTGTCTTTTCATCTGTTGTCCAAAAACATAAAAATTAGAATACACAAAACTATAACTTTGCCTGTGGTTCTGTATGGGTGTGAAACTTGGTATCTGACATTAAGGGAAGAACACAGACTGAGGGTATTTGAGAACAGGGTGTTGAGGAGAATATTTGGACCAAAGAGATATGAAGTGACAGGAGGTTGGAGAAAACTGTATAATGAGGAGCTTCATAACTTGTACTCTTCTACAAGTATAATTAGAATGATCAAGTCAAGGAGGATAAGGTGGGCAGGTCATGTAGCACAAATGGGGGAGACGAGGAATGCATATAGGATATTGGTGGGAAAGTAAGAAGGAAAAAGCCCACAGGGAAGACCAAGGCGTGGGTGGGTGGACAATATTAGAATGGATCTTAGAGAGAGAGAATGAGATGGTATGGATTGGATAGATCTGGCTCAGGATAGAGACCAGTGGAGGCCTCTTGTGAACATGGTAATGAACCTTCAGGTTCCATAAAATGCTGGGAAATTCTTGAGTAGCTGCAGAATTGGCGGCTCCTCCAGAAGGGCTCAGCTCCATGAGTGAGTGAGTAAGTATAATAAACAAAATACAAGGAAAAGTGTAATTCTATGGAGTGTACATTCCTTCCAGCATAATTAACTTACATCTCCAGACTTTCAAACAAACCCGAGGATCAGTCGTTCAGCAAACTTCAAATCTGAACTTTGCTGTCTGACTTTTGCAGATGGCTTTTAATATCCTAGTTAACATATTCATGGTGAGAACACAGTCTACCAGCTTCAAGGAACACAGAAAACTGAGTTCTACTCTGCATCAGATTTAGAGCCTGTATTTCATTTCAAATATCAGTAGCTGGCCTGTCAGGCATTGTGACAAAAATAAAATTATTTACATAAATTATAAAGACAGAGAACAAATTCTAAAAGAGACACAAAAGAGTTTCAGCTTACATTATGTTAGTTTGTGAGTCAGGATAGCATAGTCTGTATAGCAACTGGCTACAGGCTGTATAACTGAGGGGTCGAAGTTTGAGTCCTGGTAGGGTCAAGAATTTTCTCTTCTCCACATTGCCCAGACTGGCTCTGGGGTGCACCCAACCTCCTACCCAATGGGTACTGGGGGTTCTTTCCCTTGAGTTAAAGCTGCCAGGGTGTGAAGCTCCAAACTTCAACTAGTGCCAAGGTCAAGAAAATGTGGATCTATACATCCACTCCCTCCTTCATGGCATAGTGCTTAACTGTACAGCGTGGTTTGACGTGTATGTTTCGTCAGGTATTTATATCGTCTGCGGGGGTTCGACGTCTATGTTTCGTCCAGCTGCACACCTATGTTATAACGCCCATAATAATTGATGGTTTTGCTGTAGATTGTTAGATTTTTCGCTGGCCTGTTGTCAGACGAACAGTATATAATGAGACACGACTTTATCAGTGCTAAGTCATCGTTACAGATGCCTGTCTTGCAGCAAAATTCCTGTTGCTCTTGGAAGCGGTTTCCTCATTCAAACTGTTATGAATGGCGTGTTTTCTTTCCTATGAAGTTATAAACAGCAGAGACGTGATATGTGCTGTGTTTATAATATCATATTGCCCTGAGCTGGCCACACTAACACACTCAATTGGAATTCTTAGAAGAGGGATGTCCAAAAATTTATTCTTGCAAGATCGATTGATTTCGCACAGTACATAGCA